GGCCTGATTCGATTTTTGGAATGCTCGGGTCAGCAGTGGTTGCGCTGCGCTCTTCTTGTCGGTATGTCCATGGTTTAGCGGTGCTCATTTTAGCCCTACCCTGGGCACTGGGGCAAGGAGCGGCTGATGCCCTGTGGGAGCCAGTTGCCCATGCCATTTTAGGGCACTGGCAGCTCAGCCTCCCTCCTGAACCACCACAGCCTTGAAACATGCCCCCATGCTGCCCTGCACCCCTCATCTCTATCGACACACCCCACTTCAACACCTGCCCCCTCAAAATCTCCCAGGGCCCTTTAGCCCCTGGGCCAGCACAAGCCACCACCATCACACTTGGGATGCCCCTCTGTGGAACCACAGGGCCAGGGCCTGATCTGCCAGGAACCAAGATGGCCTTCTGTGATTGCTTCACGCTGCCCGTTTCCAAAATGGCGGCTGAAGACGAAAGGCCGAGAAGGTGCCAGGATTAAGGATGGCGACCGCCATAGCTTCATCAGCCCGCTTCCACCATGGCCACCCAAAGCGGCGACAAAGCTGCCAGGATCCAAAATGGCGTCCGTCACCGCTTGACATGACCGACTGCCAATATGGCTGCCCTCTGCCAGTGTGAAGCTACCAGGATCCAAAATGGCTCTCACCACAACTTCAACGGGCCTGATTTCAACATGGCCGCCATCTCCCACGGAGCAGCCTTTGCCCTTAACAAAAATGGCGGTCGCAAGCCTCCCCGGTTACTAGGACCCCCCGCCCCTTCGCTCCCCCCGCTGGGGTCTCAGATCCGAGATGGCGGCGGCTGAGGCGGAGTACGAGTCCATCCTGTGTGTGAAGCCCGATGTCAGCGTCTACCGCATCCCGCCGCGGGCCTCCAACCGGGGATACAGGTAGCGGGGCCGCATCCTGCCCTGCCCTGGGTGAGCGGGGCCACATCCTGCCCTGCCCCGGGTGAGCGGGGCCGGCGTGTCCCGTCCTGCCCCCGGGGGCAGCTTCACCCTCCCCCCTGGCCCGCTTGCTGCCCCCCGTCGCGGGGGCAAGGCCCTGCCCGTGGGCCCGGCGTCGCGCTGCCGGCCCCCGGCCGTGCTCCCCGCTCTGCCCGCCGGCGCTCAGCGGGACTGTCCCGCGCTTGTCTCGTCCCAGGGGCTCCGCTTTCCGAAAGCCCGGAGCGGGGGGGAGCAGGAGACTGGGCTGCGGAGCCTTGGGCCGGTCCGGCTGCGGGCACGGAGGGAGGCACTCGGTCTGGGGTCGCTCAGCCCCCCAGGACTGGGCTGCTCAGGCCCCTCTGCTGGCAGCGCCGGGCAAGTGAGCTCTCTCCCTCCCAGCGGGCTCTCCCCGGGGCAGGGCTGGGGCGTACGGGCAGGAGGGTCGCCTTTGAGAGACGCTTGTGCTGCCCCTGTGTTTGCTGCACTTGTTCTTCGGATAAATGGAGCCTCCTTGTCTCCAGCGGTTGCCTGTCTGGCAGTCTTCAGCAGTGCTAAAATGCACAGGCAAACTAGTAGGGAGGGGGAATCCTCCGAGCTATTTCTCCCCCCCCCCCCGATTGTTAAAATGAGGGATACAAACAAAGCCAACTACCTCTTTGCCATTTGTAGATGTTTATTTTCCCCCATCTGACTGGTTAGTTTCACTGTCCTAATGCCAATCGGTTTCACTTCCTAATGCTTGTGTCATAGGCCCTGTGGTGTTCAATTTTCTGACACTGCAAGGGAAGGAAAAATGACTCTCTATAAAAATGGCACCTTACTCAACAGTTCTGCTCCCTGTGTGTGGTCTGAGTCATACAATACCTGCTCTCTCCAGTGACAAATATGTTTTACCTCCCATTATCCCTGCAGATCCAGGACGTCTATGGAAGAGTGAGCTGGATTCTGTTCTGGCTCTTGCACAGTCACAGATTTGACTGGAGTCAGCATGACTTGTTCTGCATGAATAAGCAGAGGGTTGGAGGGCAGATGCTTCTAGGTACTAATACCTGCCCTACCACTGATCCTCTCTGGCCTTGAGCAAGTCAACTGGGGCCTGACTTTGAGGTGTTGAGCATCTGCAACTTCACTGGCTTCAGCTGAAGTAGTGGTTGCTCAGCTCTTTTGAAAATCAGAAACAAAATCAGTCTCATGCTCTTCATTTTATGGATGGAAAACATTCTTTCCATGTTGCAGAGGTTTGGGGATTAACTAGTTGATCTTATACCAATTGTTTTGATTATAAAAATAAAATATTTAGCCAAATTCCAGGGCTAACTTATGTCCTCAGTTACACCTGTCTACTTTGTCAGACACCAAGGGTACGTCTACACTTACCGGAGGGTCCGACGGCAGGCAATCGATGTTCTGGGATCGATTTATCGCGTCTGGTTTAGACGCGATAAATCGATCCCGGATCGATCCCGGAACTGCTCACCGTCGACGCCGGTACTCCAGCTCGGCGAGAGGAGTACGCGGCATTGACGGGGGAGCCTTCCTGCCGCGTCTGGACCCGCGGTAAGTTCGGACTAAGGTACTTCGAATTCAGCTACGTTATTAACGTAGCTGAATTTGCGTACCTTAGTCCGAAGTGTGGGGGTAGTGTGGACCAGGCCCAAGCGTGAATGGGCTTAACTAAAAGTTGAGCTTACCTTATACAACATCGCTTCATAGTGATGTATGAGCCAGAAGGACTTCATCTTGACCCTCAAATCCCGGGATGAGTTTGCAGGGCCAGCAGTTAGCAAATCTTTCTCCTTGCCTATAGATGGACCATATGTCATCTGGAATTGCAGGACATGATTATCAAACTCTACAATGCCATCCTTACAAAGTCACTGGTGTGACTGACTTACACCTTGAAGTGCAAGTGTCGCTAGCCCTAGTAATTTTTATCTGAAGTGTCACTGCAGATACTATTCCCGGTCATATAAATATATAATCTGGTCTCCGAAATCCCTTAATTGCTTTGCTTAAGTAACATCCTGCAACAGAGAGTTCCGTGGTTAATGATATGGTATGTGGATGTGTGAAAGTGTAACTTCCTTTTTAATCCATTTTAAACACACTCTGTTTAATTTCAGAGCGTCTCATTGTTTTCCTGGAACAGAATGGGGTAAATAGCAATAACAGTGTGGTTTCCTTCTCTAGGCAATTAATCATTTTTACAGGCCTTCCCTGTTTCAACCCAGCAGCCTTGTACTCTGAACATTTCCCTGGACTGAAGCCTTTTCCCCTGTCTGTATCTCTAATAACTTTGGATGCCTTTCTCGGGGTTATTTCTATTTCTGCCTGCACAGGGGAGTAAATACAGAAAGATGAGCCATCAGAGTCTCCTGTGTGGAGCTGGTAACAGCTGAGAGAAGTTTGAGAGTCTGAGACTTGTACTTAATTTCAGAAGAGATGTGAAATAAGGGAGCAGTGGGTGCTGCAGGTCAGAACTGAGATGCATCAGCTGAGCTGTGTGGGAAGCGCAGCGCAGGACAGGAAGAGGCTGCAGGGCAGGCCTGAGGTGCTGTCAGTGAACATACCTTGCTGTTCATTTCCCCGCCCAGGGCATCTGACTGGAAACTGGACCAGCCGGACTGGACAGGGCGTCTCCGTGTCACGTCAAAAGGCAAAATTGCATACATCAAGCTAGAGGATAAAGTTTCAGGTAAGGCAGGGTGAGGGTGTGAGGTTGTTTTATGGCTGCTACCTCTGACTCACCCTAGGGGGGACACCCTAGTTAATAGCTCAGTATAGCAGTTTTCTTTGTGGGAAAGAATGCATGGGGTTCCTTTCCTTAACTCCCTACCCTTTATTCCCCAGGAGAGCTCTTTGCTCAGGCTCCCATAGACCAGTTCCCTGGCCTTGCAGTGGAGACTGTGACAGATTCCAGCCGGTACTTTGTCCTCCGAATTCAGGATGGGAATGGTGAGTAGAAAGGGAAGATGCTATGTGGTGCAGCAGGGAGTGTGCCATGGAAATGAGGTACATTCAGGCCAGGGCAAAGGAGATCTGGCCATAGCTTGTTGACTGAGTTACATGGTTGCTAGCTGCCCTCTTGAATGCTGGTGTATGTTTGGAATGGTGAGGTGGCTGGGACTGCTGTGGGGGATTGCAGTAGGCTGAGCAGGGCTGGTGGATTGGCGACATCTGGGCGAGGAGTGGGTTGATACATTGGGCTGATAAGGAATCTGCAAGGCTTCCCCTCCCATGCTGACATCTGTTTCCCACCAGGGCGAAGTGCTTTCATTGGCATCGGCTTCTCAGATCGGGGTGACGCCTTTGACTTCAATGTCTCCCTGCAGGATCACTTCAAGTGAGTCCCATCTCCCCTAGGGCATTGTTCCTCTGCTGGTATGCAGCATGTGGTGGGTGCTCACCCATGGCACCATGGGGGCAGGATTCCTTTGGGCCCTGGTGCAGCCCAGCTGTGCAGTTTCAGCAGTGGCACTTGAGGACACTGTCACCCAAAGTATGGGCTCAAAGTTAACCTGGGTCACGGAGTTGCTCTTGCCTCTGACGTGGCAGTCTCCGAATTGGTGCCACTGCAGGGCAGGATGGGGTGGTTGGAATGTATTGTAGTGTTAAAGGGACTGTCCTTCTGGGGACATGGTAGCTTGAACTCTCTGCTGCCTGTCACTAGTGCTGACCCGGCAAGGCAGTACTAGGAATAAAGCCAGACAGTGTGCTCCCCAGGAGAAAATTTCCCATGGTCCCTTTTAAGGCCTCTATTTGTCAAGCGCTCTCAACTGCTTCTCCCTTTCTTCCTTCCTTGAATCCAGGTGGGTGAAACAGGAGACCGAAATCTCCAAGGAGTCACAGGAAACTGACACACGCCCCAAACTGGACCTAGGGTTCAAGGAAGGACAGACCATCAAACTAAACATTGGGGTAAGGATCTCCCCAGCCTAGCCAATTCTGAGCCAAGTGCCATTTCCAGGCTCACAGCTGTATTCCACTAGAGAATCCTCTTCAAATCCATTTCGGTGTCTTTACAGAACATGCCAACAAAGAAAGGAGGGGCACCCAAACCCCGTGCAGCTGGAATGGGGGGGCTGAACCTGCTCCCACCCCCTCCAGGTGGCAAAATCACAGCCCCTCCAATCCCTCCCCCATCTTCGACAGCCATTTCCAACCATGTGACGCCGCCACCAGTGCTGAAATCCAGCAACATGGGCAATGCTGGTAAGTGCTGAGTATGGATGGGAGGGGTCACCAGCACAGGGCAACTTATTCTAGTTCAAACTGGAATTATTTTGGGGAAGTTCTATGGCCTTTGTTAGATAGGAGGGCGGGCTAGATGATCTGTGCTCCGTTCTGACCTTGAAATCTGTGAATCTCTCAAGCCCTATCAGTTGCCTGTTTGGTCACTCATTTGCGTTCAGCCCTGATCAGTACTAATCTAAAGTAGTTCCTATCTGTTCAGTGGCTTGTGTGAAATGAATTGGTGGTCTCAGTCCTCTGTCTTTTTGGAGCTAGTGTTCATGACGCAAATTATGAGGCTGCTAGTTGTAATGGTGGAAAAGGATTGAATGGGTCATGAGGATGTTGCGCATCCCTGAGGTGGTTGCAGCAAAACAGCTGGAAGCATGGTGGAGACCCAGCAAGAATAGCCAAGAAGAGCTAGTAATATAGTCCTGGAACCTTCACATCACTTCTCCTGAAGGCAGGGTTGTCTCTACAGGTGATCAATGTATTTCAATAGCAGTGACCTTGCAGGGAGGAAATATCCTGTAGGTTGATGGTATTTAAACACTCCAGGGCTGTGAGTCCGTTTTATCGACAATTTTGAGTGTGTATGTATTTCTTCCTTCCCTCAGATATCCTGTTAGATTTGGACTCTCCTGCATCCATCTCTAAGGCACCAGCACTTGCTGCTGTTCCAGCCACCACAGACCTCTGGGGAGACTTCAGCACTGCATCCAGGTAACTAGCAGGGAAGGGGACAGAAGACAGAGACTACATGATCTGAGGAATGGAAAACCTGTCTTATGAAAGGAGACTCAAAGAGCATGGCTTGTTTAGCCTAACCAAAAGAAGGCTGAGGGGAGATATGATTGCTCTTTATAAATATATCAGAGGGATAAATATCAGGGAGGGAGAGGAATTATTTAAGCTTAGTACCAATGTGGACACAAGAACAAATGGATATAAACTGGACATTAGGAAGTTCAGACTTGAAATTAGATGAAGGTTTCTAACCATTAGAGGAGTGAAGTTCTGGAACAGCCTTCCAAGGGGAGTAGTGGAGGCAAAAGACATATCTGGCTTCAAGACTAAGCTTGATAAGTTTATGGAGGGGATGGTATGATGGGATAGCCTAATTTTGGCAATTAATTGATCTTTGATTATTAGCAGGTATATATGCCCAATGGTCTGTGATGGGATGTTAGATGGGGTGGGATCTGAGTTACTACAGAGAATTCTTTCCTGGGTGTCTGGCTGGTGAATCTTGCCCACATGCTCAGGGTTTAACTGATCGCCATATTTGGGGTCGGGAAGGAATTTTCCTCCAGGGCAGCTTGGCAGAGGCCCTGGAGGTTTTTCGCCTTCCTTTGCAGCGTGGTCACTTGCTGAAGGATTCTCTGCGTCTTGAGGTCTTTAAACCACGATTTGAGGACTTCAATAACTCAGGCTTAGGTTAGGGGTTTGTTACAGAAGTGGGTGGGTGAGATTCTGTGGCCTGTGTTGTGCAGGAGGTCAGACTAGATGATCATAATGGTCCCTTCTGACCTTAAAGTCTATGAGTCTATGAGAAGAAAGGGAGCACTGCAGGGCAGGATTGAGGGGCATTGGCAGGGCTGTGTGGGGAGCCCAGGACTGGAACAGCATGGGGGTTGCAGGGCAGGTCTGTAGGGCATTGGCAGGGCTGTGAGGGGAGGCGGGCTGCAGGGCAGGTCTGAGGGGCATTGGCTGAGCTCTGTGGGGAGCCCAGGACTGGAAAAGCAGGCGGGCTGCACGGCAGATCTGAGGGGCATTGGCTGGGCTCTGTGGGGAGTCCAGCACTGGAATAGCAGGGTGGGGCTGCAGAGCAGGACAGCAGAGCTGTATAGGTGGGACAGCAATCCCAAGACTGGAACTGGGCCCTCTGACAGTTTTTTTGTCCTTTCAGCGCTGTTCCCAATCAGGGTCCTCAGCAGTCCAACTGGGTCCAGTTCTGAATGGCAAAGGCAGTGGAGTGGGAACAGACCGATGACCAAGAGGCTCTAGGGGCATCAAGTGGGATGGGAGGGATCCAAACCTCTCAAGACTTCAATCAAAAATCCTGGACAATCTTTCCTTCTAAAGTTTCCACTTCAATTGAGACTGATTTTTGATCTCACAGTAAAACTGCCAAACCCTGAGGGAACATCTCAAAATTCCACCATATGATAGCCAGGGAGAGGAAGGGAGTTGTCTCCTCTATCCACCTGGCTATTGAGAGATGCATCCTGTTTCTTGTTTCTGAGCTATCCATACAGGGAAATCAAGAATCCGTAATGTGAGGCCCATGAAGAGGGTTTGAAGTTGTCTGAGGCTTTTGTGTTTTTAAGCTCTCCGTCTGGCGAGGGCCAGCTCCCTCCCACTGTTAAAAACCTTTCACAGGTATTCTACAGTAAAGACCCAAATCACTACAGCTTGGCTTGCAGGGCTGAGGGCTGTTAGGGTTTCATGCAGCCGTGTTTGGGGCCCTAGTTTGTATTGATGGATTAGCTATGGCCCTAACATAGGAACAGCTAGGAGATTGGAGCAGTCTGCCTTCTCTCTCCTATGGAACAGGATCTTGTGCATTAATCCTTAATCATGGCATGTCTGTCCAGGCTAAGCCATAACCACCCCTTTGTCCTCTCTCCTTGGTCTGATATGCAGATCTTCCCTGTGATGGGTGTTCCCTGTGGCTTTGCGGGAGGAGACACAGGTCCATGTATAGACCGACCTGCCTCCGGGCCACAGACCTGGCACTTCATGATCATGACTTTCTCTTACTTGGCTTGTTCTTTTAGAAGCTGATCTTGGTGCTGCTTCCCTCCCTGCCCTCCCAAAGCACTCTCCTGTTTCCCTCCTCCCCCACTGAGATCTCAACATGCCATTGAGCTGTTTTAACTGGAAGTGTGTAAAAATGCCTGTTTTTATAATTGAACAGCCATGCTAGTGGTGTGGCTGGTTAGCGACTGGATTATCCCACCTCCATCAGCACTTCATCTCCCTAGCCTCTGCTGGGATACGTCCTGGTGAGACACCTGCATCTGGCAGTGCTATGCCGAAATCACTTGCATTACAACAGTTTCCCTGAGCCCATAGATAGCTCAATCTGCACTGAGGGAGGGTGAGGAAGGGACAGATCCCATAGGACACCCCCCACACCCACTCTATTTGGGGAGGGATTGATTGCAGGTGGGAAGCTGGCTGAACCCTGACTAGGGTCTGGTCTTGCATGACATGTGGGCTATGACAGGCCATTTTGGAGCTGGGTGTTCTCTCCTTGCGCGCGCGCGCACACACACACCCTGTAATTTTCCACTTGTGGGATTTATTTGCCATGATGACTTAATGTGCCCTGAACCCCCCTGTCCCTCAAGCCCTTCTTAAGGGCATACAAAGTCTCTGAGGCAGAGGGGTCTTGTACCTCATTCCTTGTTCTGTTGGGGAGACCTTTAAAGCCCTTTGCTTTTCATTCCCCCCCACCCTGTTCCCAAATAACCATGCAAGTCTGCTTGCTAATCTGGGTCATTTTACAGGGAAGCCTGGCCTCCTACCCACTTCCACCATATGGGCTTCAGTGGAGTCCCTAGCAGAACAGCCAGTCTCCCCAACCCTCCTGTAGCTGGGATCCGCTTTCTAGAACACTAGACATGGGCTTTGCAGACAGGTGTCTTCTTGTTTGTGACACTCAACTAGTGGCAACACGTCTATCCTCAGATGTACTGTGGAATCATTAAAACTTTGCTCACTTAATTTCTGCCCTCCACCTCTAAAATCGCAGGGCTAGAGTTCTAAAAGGGGAGCAGCTAATTGGGCACTTTTGTACTTCCAATTGGTCTCCAACCCTTTTTCTCTCTTCTCCACTGTTGCGATTGTAGACTACCTCTCTGCAGGCTCACTAGTACTGAGGGCATTGAGAGGCCAATTTGCACTTGGAGCATCTCTCTAGGAAGCAAAAACTATTTTGAAGAGACTTGTGGGAGTGCCATGTCTCTGTAAAGCTGCTGCAGTTCCACTTGTGGAAGTGGGGACCAGATTGCAGGCTTGGATGGATAGATGTATTTTAAATAGCCACCTATTCATGATCCCCAGATGTATTTTCCCCTCTTGATATTTGCTCCTGAATCTCACTGTTGGTTTAGCTCCCTGTCTCTGAGGCTTCCCTTTCTCCTATGAATTTGTTACATGGATGGGTGTAAATCACTAACCCCTTCCTCTCCTGGTGTTCTCTACACTAGGCCATATGCCCTGGCTGTTGGCTCAAATCTTCCATATCAGTGGCAGGTCCAGTCGTTTCAATTATATATCAGTTTCCAAAACTAAGGAAGTTCACAGTATCAATTAGCAACTAACCAGGAGCCTCTCCCTCTGTGTAATGTCTCTTAGCTAGTATTCTGGAGATAATATATTATGTATTTGCAAAGCTGAAGAAGCAAAAATTAAAGATGTATGTATATAAAGCATAAAATGTACTGGTGCAATAATGGTAATTAAAAACAAGAAAAAATTGGGAAAATGAACTCTCTTAAATGAAGTGAATTTTGTGCTGGGGCAGCTGCCCTGTTGACTAAAGGCCTCTGTTTGTACCTAAGAACTGCCATACTGCGTCACACTAATGGTTCATCAAGTCCAGCATCCTGTCTCTGACAATGGACAGTACCGGAGCTTTATGGGGAGTGTACAGAGCAGGGCAGTTGGGTGATCCACCTCATACCCTGCCCCCTCTTCCCCCCCTCCCCCCCACACACATACAGGGCTTCTGGCTGTCAAAAGTTTGGGGTCATCCAAGCATGGGGTTGTGTCTCTCACTATCTTGCCTAATAAGCATTGATGGACCTATCTTCCATGAACTCATGAAGTTCTTTTTTTAATCTTATTATACCTTTGGTCATCACAACGTCCCCTGGCAATGAGTTTCACAGGTGCATTGTGTGTAAGGGTACATCTACAGTACGAAATTAATCCAAACTTATTCTATTCGAATTTTCGAAAGCGATTTTATACATTTGGAGTTGTGTGTCCCCACTAAAGCCCGTGAATTCGGCGGAGTGCCTCCACAGTACCGAGGCTAGCATCGAATGTCGAAGCGTGCACTGTGGGAAGTTATCCCACAGTTCCCGCAGTCCCCGCCGCCCATTGGAATTGTGGGTTAAGCTCCCAGTGCATGGTGGGGCAAAAACATTCTCGCGGGTGTTTCTGGATGTGTGCCGTCACTCGCTCCTCCCTCCGTGAAAGCTATGGCCGACGCCATACTGCCAGCAGACGGTGCAGTACGGTGCACCGCCTGTCTCCTGGTACTATGAATCCACCTCGCATGTCCTCTCATCTTTCTATCTACTCTTTTATCTAACCATTTCCCGCCTTTTTGCGGCTACCGTGAACCGAGCAGCATAGCTTCTGCCGCAAACTCTGCTCTCCCGCTCTTGCATCACTAGCTAATTTTTTCATGTTGTTGGTCCTGGGTTCCCGTGGAAGCTACAGAAGGCAACAATTCCCCGCTGTTTTTCGGCCATCGTGAACTGAGCCGCACAGCTTCCGCTGCAAATTCTGCTCACGCTTCCGCTGCAAACTCTGCTTTCCCGCTCTTGCAGCTCTAGCGAGCTTCCCGACTCCATGAAAGCTACAGAAGACAACCATTTACCACCTTTTATCAGCCATCTTGAACCGAACAGCTCTCCTACGTTTCGCGCCCTTTTTCCAGGATTACTCGTGCAGGTGCCATAGCACGGCAAGCTTGGAGCCCGCTCAGATCTCCGCTGCAGTTTTGACCATTGTAAATACCTCGCGCATTATCCAGCAGTATGTGCAGTACCTGCAAAACCAGGCGAGGAAGCGACGACAGTGCAATTACTATACTGATGAGGACATGGACACAGACGTTCCTAGAAGCACAGCATGTGGCGAGTGGGAGATCATGGTAGCATTGGGCCAGGTTCATGCCGTGGAATGCCGATTCTGGGCCCGGGAAACAAGCACAGACTGGTGGGACTGCATAGTGTTGCAGGTCTGGGATGATTCCCAGTGGCTGCGAAACTTTTGTATGCGTAGGGCCACTTTCATGGAACTTTGTGACTTGCTGTCCCCTGCCCTGAAGCGCAAAGACACCAAAATGAGAGCAGCCCTCACAGTTGAGAAGCGAGTGGCCATAGCCCTGTGGAAGCTTGCAACGCCAGACAGTTACCGGTCAGTCGGGAATCAATTTGGAGTGGGCAAATCTACTGTGGGGGCTGCTGTGATCCAAGTAGCCAACGCAATCAAAGACCTGCTGATATCAAGGGTAGTGACTCTGGGAAACGTGCAGGTCATAGTGGATGGCTTTGCTGCAATGGAATTCCCAAACTGTGGTGGGGCGATAGACGGAACCCATATCCCTATCTTGGCCCCGGCACACCGGGGCGGCTAGTACATAAACTGCAAGGGGTACTTTTCCATGGTGCTGCAAGCACTGGTGGATCACAAGGGATGTTTCACCGACATCAACGTGGGATGGCCGGGAAAGGTGCATGACGCTCGCATCTTCAGGAACTCTGATCTGTTTGAACAGCTGCAGGAAGGGACTTACTTCCCAGACCAGAAAATTACTGTTGGGGATGTTGAAATGCCTATAGTTATCCTCGGGGACCCAGCCTACCCCTTAATGCCATGGCTCATGAAGCTGTACACAGACACCCTCGGCAGTAGTAAGGAGCAGTTCAACTATAGGCTGAGCAAATGCGGAATGGTGGTAGAATGTGCTTTTGCACGTTTGAAAGGGCACTGGCGCAGTTTACTGACTGGGTTAGATCTCAGCACAACCAGTATTCCAATTGTAATTGCTGCTTGTTGTGTGCTCCACAATATCTGTGAGAGTAAGGGGGAGACGTTTATGGCAGGGGGTGAGGTTGAGGCAACTCGCCTGCCAGCCAATTTCGCACAGCCAGACAACGAAGCGATTAGAAGAGCACAGCATGGCGCGCTGCGCATCAGAGAAGCTTTGAAAGCCAGTTTCATGACTGGCCAGGGTACAGTGTGACAGTTGTTTGTTTCTCTTGAAGTTACCTGCCCCCTATATATATGAAAGGAAATACAGTCAAAATTGTTTAAAAACTGTTCTTTATTATTTGTTGCACAACACATTGAGAGAAATCAGATGGTAGACCGGGGTGGGGTGGGGTATTGTGTTTGGGGGGTGGAGGAGGAGGGAAGGACAAGTCCAGAAACCAAATCAAAAGTTCGCAGATGCCAGCTTTCTGCTGCTTGGGCGATCTTCTGGGGTTGAGTGTGTGGGTCCCCGTAGCCTCCCTGCTCGTGTTCTTGGGCGTCTGGGTGAGGAGGCTATGGAACTTGGGGAGGAGGGAGGGCGGTTATTCAGGGGCTGCAGCAGCATTCTGTGGTCTTACTGCAATGAGATCCAGTACCTCCCGTTCGGAGTTGGAGCTCGTCTGCGAATCCGGGACTGTGTGATTTCTTGTGATGGTGGACTCTGCATGGTCGCCTGTGCTGATGGTCATCTGTGCTGATGGTGACCAAACAGAAAATGAAATTCAAAAGTTCCCGGGGCTTTTCTTGCCCACCTGGCTAGTGCATCGGAGTTGAGAGTGTTGTCCAGAGCGGTCACAAGGGAGCATTCTGGGATAGCTCCCGGAGGCCAATAACGTCGAATTGCATCCACAATACCTTTAACCCGGGATTGCGATCTCGATTTAAGCACTACTCCACTTGTCGAGGTGGAGTACAGAAATCAGATTAAAGAGCCCTTTAAATTGAAAAAAAGGGGTTTAGTAGTGTAGACCAGGTCTAAGAGTATTTGTTCTTGTTTGTATTAAACCAATGGCAGGAGTATATAGTAGTTGAAGTGCTTTAGGATGAAAGGTACTACGGGGAATATTTCTCACTGAAACCCACTACCATTGTGCTCCTGCAGCAGTACCACAAGTGAAGCGATAAACCCCTGGCACTGAGCAGCCAAACTTCATGGTGCTCCCTGGGAGAAGCACAAGAATACAGCAGCCTCGATAGATGCGAGAGTTCTTCTGCACTCTTAGAACATATTCAGGGGTAATGGGCTGGCAAGTCTAGTAACGTGTTACATGGGTTGAAAATCTTGAAGTACAAATAAAAATGAACAGCTATGTTAATGCTCAGGTAACTGTTCAAGGGAGCTAGAGACTTTGCCGTCTAGGTCACCAGTAACTTCAACCCAGATCAGTATAGATAGGAGCGGCTGGGAACAATTTTCTGTGGTGGCTGATGTGAAAGGTATTTGATAGCTTTCGGTTACCAGGGGGGAGATGTGTCCCATACCACAAAATGCTTATTTTCCCAGTGTTAGGCATAGCAGAGAGGCTAAGGATTGGCCCTGGAGGCTAAGCACTCCCGCAGTCTTGGTGTGAAGCATGGTATTAGAGGTGGCTGGTAATGTAGTCCTGCCTGTTCTCTGAGTAAATGGAGGATTATATACAGCAGCTCCTTTCACCAGAATCAAATCCGCATGGAAGTAACAATGTGGGGAGGTACTAGAAAGGGGGAGAAAGAAGAGGGTTGGACAGAGCAGTATGGGAATGTGTAAGGAGGAGGAGCGTAGGGAAGAGGAAGGGAGATCCTACTGCTTTGGTAGCTTTGATCTTGGTTTTGCATATAACGCAGCATGGAAGTGTCTAGTAGGAACTAGTAAGGGAACCGGTTTGAATTGCATCGTCTTGATAACATCCTATAAATCTGCCCCCCCACACACACACATTATGAGCAGGACATGGAGACCGCTCCTCTTCTCTGTTTGCAGTGAAGAGGGTTTGGTTCTGGCATTAGGTTATTGGTGCAGTGACCCTATGTCAGCACCTCCCATTCCCCCTCTCCCACACCTTGCATTGCAAATGCTTTCTTCTAACCCAGCCTAAGCAGAGGGCTGGCTGTTAAGACCTCCTCCTACACATGACGTTGTACACAACAGCTCTCTCCAGATGAAGGATTAAGGCTAGGCCTTTGAGTATAAATCTGTGATTTGATCTCCTGATCATCTCCCAAGTAACAGTATTTATTTTGTACTGCAGAATGAACCAGCAGGCTTACTTGGTCTGCTGGGAATAGCTGCTTCTAGGCCCATAGCAGTGAGCGGAGAAGCTGGGTGGGAGGTGAGCCGTTGCGTTGGCTGAATGAGAAGAGAATGCTACCACCACGAACATAGGGTCTGAAAGATGGTGGGGGAGAGTTTGTGACACCTGGCCAAAACTAGGACCTATAATCTGAAAATGGTTCAGCTCCACTGATGGTAACTGTAGTGTAGCTGGGCATTTTTCCCATTATGTCATCTAACCCTGCTTTGGCCAGGCTGGGTAAAAATACCCAAGCCCTGGTTCCACCACGGCTTCCGTGGTTGATGCCATTAATAATGCGGCATCCGCTGTGAATTACAGGTATGAATTTTCTGGCGCAGGACAAGGTCTTGGGCCTGCACTGAATAGAATTTCTGAAGGACGAGAAGACGAAGGCAGTTCATAGTTCTCAATATTCAAACGGAACTTCCTTCCAGCCTGGGAC